ACGCATCATGACATTCTAATTACCCAGATAAGCCATGGTACACACTCACCTTGATTTTGGAAATGATTTGGAATAAGAAACAACAAAGAACAACGAATCAGAGAATCCTAGAATCGAATTTCTTTCTTCCCTCACAAAGAACGCACACCAGAATCCGACTCAAGAGCCTCAAAATCACAAAAACAAGCTTTTAGAATCAAGAACACGAAGAAATCAACAATGATTCTTCTTTTCTCTCAGTTCTCTCAAAACTCTCTGATTTCTCTCTTCAACTCTGAAAAACGCGACTGAAACATGGCTCCTCAACTTTTATAGTCGAATCCTAGGGTTTCCTTAACCCGAACTGTAAACTGACGCTCCAAAAAACTTTTATAGTTCAATTCGAACATGTGTCAATCGACACACCCCCATGGTGTCGACCGACGCACACACTAAAATTCTCAATTTTGGTTCGCGGGCGTTACATGTCGTAGCTTCTTCCCTCTCTTTGAGAATGTTCGAATTCCCGAGCTTTATACCAGAAACTTCAAAGTCACATTGGAAAGTGACCAATATAAGACTCTCCGGCTTTGGCGCGAAGACCCTCTTGACGCATCCGAGAAATGCCTTGGATCCGCTGTTCATCTTTTACGACGATCTATCTGCTCTTTGTTTTATTGCAATTCAATTATGTGGTATTAACTTTGGAGGATGTTTAATTCCTTCCTTTCTACTTTGATCGGTTAAATGAATGAAGTAAGTTTCTTGAAAACAAAAAATAGATTACATCAGTAAAGAAGAAGTTCAAAATATGAAATACAAAGAGAATCTAATGGTTTTTTCCGCACCGGAAATTAAGTGAAGATAATAATTGTTGACGACAGATTAACGATACCAAGATGATCTTGTTTCGAATCGAATGTAGACAATTAGGTGTTCCCGAAATCTACAATAGCAGCTGGATTTCGAAAATCTATTACGATAACATGATAACAATTTTCTTAATTTAGATAAATATCTTTCTTTGATCGCCTTTTATCAATTTTTTTAGAAGTTAGCTCAGTGAAGCCACTGTTGCACAAGTTTGAACTACAAATTTAAATCAAATAGATAGCCAAAATCGACTAGAAACTAAACATAGATCTTCTACGAGAGAAAAAACCTCAACTAAAAATTTCACCTGAAAAAACTAAACCCAATTGAGGAAATCACAAGAACTCATAAAATCCAGACGGCGAATAACATCGTATCGTCTTCTAACCAAAAAATTCAAGATATCCTCTCTAGACTTCATGTATACAAAGTACTAGTTTACAACCTTTTGCCTCTCACGATGCCGGTAAAAGCACCGGATATCAAAGAGGAAGTAAACTCAATCCCCCTTTTTTCTCTCCCTTTGTCTCTGACAGCTAGGGTTTTGAATTCGGTGATATGTTTATATCCTTGATTTGTTTATTAACTTATCTTCGATAAAATTTTATTATTTCTATTTTAAAATATAGAGATATTTGAGTAAAACCGCAAAAAATAAAAATAAAATATATATATTTCTTCGAAAAATAAATCATCTTATATCTGTTTTGTGAAAACTCAGTTAATCATGAAAAAGAATGCAAAATTCAAATGTTTATAAAACATTAATACATTTAAATTTTGCAGAATGTGAAATCATATTATATTTTGAAACAAAAAATCTCTAAAATATTACATGTTTTGAAACGGAAAGAATACTTTTTTTAAAGGCAACTGACATATAGAGCTATAAAAAGAAAAATAATATAAAATCTAACCAGTGTTTTTACTCTCTCTATCTTTCTCTATCTCTTTCTAACCGATTGGTTAGATTTTATGTTATGGATCTTTTTTGTTATTTACCAAATTGACCCTATTTTTAAACTTGAGTTTTTTTTCGTTTTGATAACTTAATAACAATGAACACTCGAAATTACCCAACAATATTAAGCCAGGTGGTGGGGATAATGTTGGACCTTAAACTTGTAAAAAATGGAAGGGCAAAAATTGAGGCAGTCAGTGTAACCAAGGCTAGTCTTGATAAAATATTACTAACTCTACTACAAATCTTGTAAGATCCGGTCATAACATATAATACAGCGCATTATGATCAGGAAGGGAATCGTTGAAAGAAATGGATATTTCAGATTGTGGGTTGGCGAGGCGTGTCAGCAAGTAGCAAAAGGCAGTGCCATCCTGTAACGCCCGTGAACCAAAATTTAAAGATGGAAATCGAACTAGACCGAATGGATTATTTCTTTTGTTAAATTGTTGGGTTTGCGGTTTGGATTTTGGCCCAATCTCAATAAACTCACAACCCTAGAACCTATATCTTTGGGAATTGATGCAAAAGCCCAAAATTTAAAGAAAGAGTATTTCGGTCTATTTCTGAAGGGTGTAAGCCCTAAACCTAGCTCTCTAATCACCTATTTAAGTGATGCTCGTGGCTAGTGGTCAGAGGAAGAGAATTGTGATAACGAAGCCCTACCGTTTTCGCTATAGCCATCGTTACCTTTTGAAATTCCAGTTCTGAGTTGCTAGTTTTCAGGACAGATTCCCGATGGCTCAGAAGGACCTAAGTCGTCATGTTTGTATCTCTGGAAAGATCACGGATTAGTTTCTGTAGCTTCTTTCAGATTTCAATTACGAGGTATCGCCTGCTCGAAAATTGTATTTCAATATTGAGGAAAATAACTATTTTTGAACTGGAATTTCTGTTTTCATATCCGATCAGCGAACTTGCGGGCTTATTTACTGTCGTTTGTAAAGAACCAGGAGACGATCTAGATATCATTGGAAACCCTCGAGTCTTGGCTTTCCAGAGACATTGAGTTCGGTTATAACTAAGGTTTACGTAAGAAGTTATCTATGTTTTCGTCTGACTGGTATAAACTGGCCGAACCGGTTAATTATTGTAGAAAGTTTGATAATGGAATATTAAACTTTATTTCATGAACGCAGATTTGAGACGCTAGTTTCAACCGCTTTCGTTTCGAACTCAGGTTTTGGACGTGA